CCCCCCCCCCCCCCCCCGACACATGCACACACATATAAGACAGTCAGACTCCATCACATCATTCAAATCCCACCTGTTCAAACTGGAATATTGACTCTAACTGGACACTGTGCACTACACTTGATGTCTTTTATCCTCTACGCTCTGTAAGGCGACCTTGGGTGACTTGAAAGGCGCCTCCAAATAAAATGCATCATTATTATTATCATTATTATTAACATGGACGTCTCTTCCCAGAGGTCATGACCCCGTGACTCAGGATAATCCACAGACCGCGGTGTGAGCAGTTTGATGTAGGAACTATTTTCTTTCTACTGAACTACACCCACTGACCGTATCACTGCGCAGAGGGAGGCGTGCATCTACTGTTCTAACGCCACTCTGCAAAGAAGACCCTGCCCACTGCTCTCACTCAGCTTCATGATTTATGGGCGGCAGGGGCGACGGATGCCACGAAATCAGGTGTTGATCTGAAACCCGTCAAACAGAATCACTGATGTTGATATATTTTAGTTCTCTGACGTCGGGTCCGTCTGCACAGACAGTTTGAAAATGTGACCTTAAACTTTACGATCTCAAACTTACAACACGTCTTCAAAACGTCACACCTGTCCCGCCCACAGTCCGTCCTGTCGACTGTCCTGTTTATACAGACGTCCTTCTGTGGCGGCTCAAAGGTGAGACGACTCTGTCCCCTCATTCTGCCATCAAACCTTTCAAGCTCAGTCCATAGGGACTTGGGTTGGGAACCGGAGGGTCGCCTGTTCGAGTCCCCGTCCGGACCAAAATATGGAGCGTGGACTGGTGGCTGGAGAGGTGCCAGTTCACCTCCTGGGCACTGCCGAGGTGCCCTTGAGCAAGGCATTGAACCCCCCAACCGCTCGGAGCGCCTGTCATGGGCAGCCCCCTCACTCTGACATCTCTCCATATATGTATAGGTCCTGTTTGTGCATGTGTGTGTTCGGACCTGTGTGTAATTGACAAGCAAGAGTGAAAACATTGAATTTCCCCTCAGGGGATTAATAAAGGAAATAAAATTAAAAAATTAAATTAAATTAAAATACAGAACGATGAGGGGCAACAGCGGCGTGAACGACACCTGTTTGTTTGTTTGTTGCAGTCGTAAACTTCATGTGTTGCTGTTTGAGTTTCACAGAACAAAGTTTTGATTGAACGACCTGATTATTGATCAAACTGATCGGTAGGAACCAACAGGTGATCACGTGTTCCTGTTCAGCTGCTCTCAGGTCAGTAAAACAAGCTGTTGTCATGGTAACGAGCATCCTCACTGTCATCAGTGATCATCAATAATCGATAACCCCCCCGCCCTCTCACCTGCTGCTGTCGGGCTCCGTGTTGCTGCAGGTCGACCCCCACACGTCCAGCAGACTCCCGCCTGACGAGGTGGACGACGCCAGCGAGGGCCTCTTGTCCAGCAGCCCCCCCGACCCCCCGCTGGAGCTCTTGGTCCTGAACAGCTTGCTGAGCCGGACTTTCAGGGACCCCCCTTTCCTGGACTTCCCCCGCAGCGTCTTCTCCCCCCCTCCCTCCAGGACCACCAGGGGGGAAGCAGACCGCCCCGCTCCCCCAGAGGCCACGCCCAGTTTGGGGGTGGTGGCGCGGCTCTGGGGCTGGGAGCGGGACTGGTGCTGATGCTGGGGGCGGTGGGCAGGATCGGGACCGGAGGACGGGAGGGGGTCAGGGGAGACCTGGAGGCCGCTGAGGGCTGCCGCCGCCTGGAGGGCCTGAGGGCGGACAGGGGGGTACGGGCAGAGGGGGGCGCTGCTGATGGGTGCATGGGGGTCTACACAGGGGGGGAGGGACACTGCAGCACCGAGGACTGCCAGCGAGGTCCGGCAGGTCTGATCTGTGCAGACCCCCGCCTCCTCCGCCAGTCTGTGGACCTGCCGCATCAGACCGCTCAGAGTCCCGCTGGAGAACACAGGTCCCGCCCCCCCAGACGTCCCCCCTCCACCCACTGTCTCCCCCTTCTCAGCGCCCCCTCCATCCCTGTCCCCTCCCTCCCCCAGCCCCCCCACCTCCTCAGATCCCAGACCCTCCAGAACCAGCAGGGCGTCGCTGGTCTCACTCGGGTCCTCCCCGGGCCCCATGCCCCCCGCCCCGCTGTGACAGGAGCATCGAGACAGGGGGAGCACCATCTCCTCCCCCCCGCCTCCTCCTCCCTCCCTCCCCTCCCCCAGCTGACCCAGCCTCTGGGCCAGAGCCAGGACCGGGTCCTCCCCCCCGCTGGAGTAGTTCTTCCTGGGCTCCAACAGGCCCAGACGCAGGGCTTGGTCCAGCAGGCCCGGGGGCCACTTGGCCAGCCGATCGGTCAGCAGGCGGTGTCGGTGGCACAGGACCGACCCGGACTCAGAGTCCAGAGCCGGGACGTCCTGCTGGGGCGTCTGGGACCCGTCAGACCCCTTGGACAGTCTGAGGACCGGGTGCCACTGGAGCAGCTGCGGCTGCTGCGGATGCAGGGTCTCCTCTGCAGACGGGACGCACTGAGAGTTCTGCTCCTTCCCGCCTCCTGGGCCGGGACAGGCCGTTGTGGTACCGGGACCGGGACCGGATCCGGGGTCCAGCTGTTGTCTCTGTCTCTCTGCCTCCTCCTGGAGGAACCCCGGGGGCGGCTGCTCCAGTCCGCACTCCAGGATCCGGTCTCCGGACCGCAGCAGGTTCTGAAACACCATCAGCTGCGCCCTCGACCCGTGCGCCCCCGAGCCGTGCTGCACCGGGAAGTCCACAAACCGCTGCGCCGCTACGGTAAAGTCCTCGGGCGGCGGAGGGGACAGCGGCGCCTCGGAGCCCGGCGGGGCCTGCGTCAACACCAGCCCGCCGTCCAGCTCACCTTTCCCGGGGAGCGGTGAGCTGTAGTGCGGGGAGGCCGAGCCGAGGCCTGGAGAGGGGCCGCCGGAGTCCAGATCAAACCCGCCGCCGTGGTGACCCAGCACGGCTTTAACGGGCCCGAAGCCGCCGCCCCCGGACATCAGGTCGTCGGGCTCGTCCAGCCGGTCGTACTCCGCCGCGGACACGAGACGCATCAAGACGAAGTCCGGAGACATTTCTTGTTGCGCGTCATTCATCCTGACAGGCTAACGGGAGCTAACGGGAGCTAACGGGAGCTAACGGGAGCTAACGGGAGCTAAACGGGCTCCGCTCTTACATAACACCGATATAAATAAACAGCTGCGGAGCTAACGGTGGCTAGCTGCTGCATCCTCCCCGCTCAGCTCACCGGGCAGCCCGACCCAACACCGGCCGACGGCCATGGAACTTCCGGACCGGTTCGTGACGGTAACGGCTCCGCTGGACATGAAACGACATGAGAAAACCCGCCCGGTGCCGCCGCTCGGTGACGTTAGCTAGCTGTTAGCCTCCTACCGACTCATCCTCCGGTGAGACAACACGGATGTGCTGATGATGGGGGGCGCGCGGGGCGGCTGCGCAGCGGCGACATCAATAATCGATCAGCTGATTGATAAACGGACAAACCGACACCTCCATCCGCTCATCTACACTTCCCGGTACCGGAGAGCTCCGTCACTACCGGCTGTGACAGCTCTCCGTGATCGTGTTGAGAACGCCGTTAACGGCAGTTAGGGACCGTTCGGTACTTACAGGGGGTCACACACAGTGTTGCCAGATGTCGCGAGACAAATAAGCAACCAGGCCTGTGACAACAAGCCCAGAACAAGTGACTTTTCTACGGAGGCCCACGAGGAGAGAGAAAGTTAAATAAACTGTGTGCACGGTTTTACAATCTGTGGAGACAGATCGTCAATTTACATCCACAAGATGGAGTGAAACCACCTTTAACATTATTAACATTAGAAAACAGATGGGATATCAAATATAGATGATGCACTAAGTACATTATATACACAGTAAACCTCTGATAATTAACATTTGCACACAAACAAATATCATCCTGAATTCACAAATTCTTCGTTTATTATTGCTTTTTATGCACTCATCTAACTTTTTTCTTTTAGTTACAGGACTGATGTTTTCCTAACCAGAAAAAAACACATTACCCTGCTCTGCCTCTGATTGGCTAGTACTCGTTGCATCAGGGTCAGAGTCAATTAGAAGCAGGATGCAGGTGGGAAAAAACTCTGTTGTCTCCTGTGTGTATGGGGAAAGGGAGGGACAGAGGGAACAGACAAGACAAACTATTCTATGTTTAAATAACATATCGAGAATATCTGCTTGACAACTTATTATGGAGCTGGGAACAAGTTTTATTATAACAAGTTTTATTAGTGATTATTCTGCCCATCAATTTTTGATTCAATTATTTATTTATGACATACATTTTAGAGAAACTGTTAAGATAAGGTAAGAAACGACAAGATAAGATGAGATAGGTTAAGATAAGGTAGGTTAAGATAAGATAAGATGAGATGAGATGAGACATCGGAGACGTTGGCTTGCTTCAGCAGCTCAGAAACATCAGAAAAAGAAAACTGTGACAGATTTGTCAATAAATGAAGGTCAATAATACAAATATCACTAAACTATCAATAACTGACAGATTCTGTGCGTTAACGACTGATGGTCACACATCAGAAGTTAAACACACACAGTGTGTAACATGTTTTATTAAGTACATATATTAATATGCACAGTCAGAGGTCAGAGGTCAGAGGTCAGCTGTGACACTGGAATAATATTAAAGTTATATAATAATGTTTCAGACATGTGTCCATTATTAAAGAGATCTTTAATCTCATCTTAAACAATAAAATCAGTTATTTTTGTGTTTTATTATTATTGTTTATTTTCCGTCATGTTTTGTTGTTTTTATTTGTTCATTTATTTTTTGTTTTTATCCTTATTAATTTTGTTGTATTTATAGTTATTTTTGTAGTTATATTTGTGCATTTATATCATAAATATATCTCTGAGCTTTCAGCCTGAGCTCATGTTCTTCTTCAGACTGCAGATGTTCAGTCAGAGGACCTTTAAATCTGTTCTTATTAAACTGACTTTATTCCAACATGAAGCTCAGCACGTTTCTGATGTATTATTGTTATTATGATAACACGGAGGATCTGACCAGAGAACAGACGTTGCGGACTGACGTCACACGCATGAAAATATGACGTTAATGGCGTCATAGTGCGTCGCTGCGAGCAGGGTTCGAACCTGCGCGGGGAAACCCCATTGGATTTCAAGTCCAACGCCTTAACCACTCGGCCATCACAGCTGCTGTCACACTGCTCTGAGATCAGCTCCGAGTCTCTGAGTCAGAGGGGGCGGAGACACAACCTGATCTGAGACCAGTTTAATTCTCTCTCTGGAAATGACGTCATTATCCGTGTGACATTTGGTTTGCTGCTGCGCCTCCATCAATGAGTTTTTATTTTTATAAAACTCAACCTCTGATGTTTGAAAATTAAAAGTAGATGAAAGCCTTTTCTGTTTATTTATTTTGGTTTTATTACATTTGATTTTAAAGTGTGACCAGCAGCGCTCTCAGACCGCCACTTCACCTGTGGCTGAATCCGAAATCCATCTGAAATAAGCTTGAATCAGTCCGACAGGACAAAGCTTAAACTCAGATCTGAGTTACACACCTGAGCACACCTGGACTCACCTAAGACCACACGGATCAGAAAAAACTTAGTCTTTGTAAGGAGACATTTGTTACTGTGATGTGGAGCATGTGTCTGTCTCAGGTGTGTTTGAACATCTCAGGTGTTTTATTCTTTTTCTCTGGTTCACCCACACAGGTGAGTGTTAACCCTCCCAGGTGAGTGTTAACCCTCACAGGTGAGTTCTATTCTCGTCTTAACCCTCACAGGTGAGTTCTATTCTCGTCTTACCCCTCACAGGTGAGTTCTATTCTCGTCTTAACCCTCACAGGTGAGTTCTATTCTCGTCTTACCCCTCACGGGTGAGTTCTATTCTCGTCTTACCCCTCACAGGTGAGTTCTATACTTGTCTTACCCCTCACAGGTGAGTGTTAATCCTCACAGGTGAGTTCTATTCTTGTCTTACCCCTCACAGGTGAGTTCTATTCTCGTCTTACCCCTCACGGGTGAGTTCTATTCTCGTCTTACCCCTCACAGGTGAGTTCTATTCTCGTCTTACCCCTCACGGGTGAGTTCTATTCTCGTCTTACCCCTCACAGGTGAGTTCTATTCTCGTCTTACCCCTCACAGGTGAGTTCTATTCTCGTCTTACCCCTCACAGGTGAGTTCTATTCTCGTCTTACCCCTCACAGGTGAGTTCTATTCTCGTCTTACCCCTCACAGGTGAGTTCTATTCTCGTCTTACCCCTCACAGGTGAGTTCTATTCTCGTCTTACCCCTCACAGGTGAGTTCTATTCTCGTCTTACCCCTCACAGGTGAGTTCTATTCTCGTCTTACCCCTCACAGGTGAGTTCTATTCTCGTCTTACCCCTCACAGGTGAGTTCTATTCTCGTCTTACCCCTCACAGGTGAGTTCTATTCTCGTCTTACCCCTCACAGGTGAGTTCTATTCTCGTCTTACCCCTCACAGGTGAGTTCTATTCTCGTCTTACCCCTCACAGGTGAGTTCTATTCTCGTCTTACCCCTCACAGGTGAGTTCTATTCTCGTCTTACCCCTCACAGGTGAGTTCTATTCTCGTCTTACCCCTCACAGGTGAGTTCTATTCTCGTCTTACCCCTCACAGGTGAGTTCTATTCTCGTCTTACCCCTCACAGGTGAGTTCTATTCTCGTCTTACCCCTCACAGGTGAGTTCTATTCTCGTCTTACCCCTCACAGGTGAGTTCTATTCTCGTCTTACCCCTCACAGGTGAGTTCTATTCTCGTCTTACCCCTCACAGGTGAGTTCTATTCTCGTCTTACCCCTCACAGGTGAGTTCTATTCTCGTCTTACCCCTCACAGGTGAGTTCTATTCTCGTCTTACCCCTCACAGGTGAGTTCTATTCTCGTCTTACCCCTCACAGGTGAGTTCTATTCTCGTCTTACCCCTCACAGGTGAGTTCTATTCTCGTCTTACCCCTCACAGGTGAGTTCTATTCTCGTCTTACCCCTCACAGGTGAGTTCTATTCTCGTCTTACCCCTCACAGGTGAGTTCTATTCTCGTCTTACCCCTCACGGGTGAGTTCTATTCTCGTCTTACCCCTCACAGGTGAGTTCTATTCTCGTCTTACCCCTCACGGGTGAGTTCTATTCTCGTCTTACCCCTCACGGGTGAGTTCTATTCTCGTCTTACCCCTCACAGGTGAGTTCTATTCTCGTCTTACCCCTCACGGGTGAGTGTTAACCCTCACGGGTGAGTTCTATTCTCGTCTTACCCCTCACGGGTGAGTTCTATTCTCATCTTACCCCTCACGGGTGAGTTCTATTCTCGTCTTACCCCTCACGGGTGAGCTCTATTCTCGTCTTACCCCTCACGGGTGAGTGTTAACCCTCACGGGTGAGTTCTATTCTCGTCTTACCCCTCACGGGTGAGTTCTATTCTCGTCTTACCCCTCACAGGTGAGTGTTAACCCTTACAGGTGTGTCTCTATGGTCAGAAGAAGCAGCAGCAGGACACTCAGTACAATATAGACTTTATTAGTTCACTAAAGTTGAATATGAAATAAAAAGCAGATTGGCTTTAAATGATTCACAATTCAGTAATAATCGAGTTGCCAGGTTCATCATGTCAACATAGGAAGTACCTCCTCCCTACAGCTGCCACACCTCTACGAAATAAAAGCTCTCCAAGGCTGGGGACACTTCACTTCCAACTCCAGGATCAGAATATTCTGACTTTATTTCCCAATGAGAGAACTTCCTCTGGTGGTGACTGTGATGACCGTTACAGACTGAAAGTGAAGTGGTCAGACCCGGAGCCGAGGCGGGCAGACGGCACTGAGCGTGCTCGCAGGTTTCTGCAGCCCAGAAACTACAAATGTCCCAACAAAACGTCCCCGTCAGCTGCTGCTACCAAACAAGCCACGAAGTGAGTTAAAAAACAGAAAAACAAGAAAAATCATGGTTCTTTGTGGCGCCGCGTAAACAAACCGACAGTTCAGCTTCCAATCAGCAGAGTCCAAAACATTTCATCAGTCCAGGAGTCCAACAGACGACAGAAGAGACCGAAATCACCAGAACTGCTTGGGGAATGTTTCATATCATTTTATTGTTTTTTTTACTTTATTTTCATCATAGCAATGGAAAAATAGAACCTTATACAAACGTCTTCAATTCTCTGCATTTCTTTTTAAACAAGCAAAAATGGTGAGTGACCCGTTCCCAAAACAAGTGCAGCGGGGAAATAAAAACTCAAACGCTTCACCAGCAGCTCGCTTCCACTCCTTTTATTTTCCGCTAAACTATTTTCCATTTGGCACTCGCTCCTCGGAGGATTCCTCTTCGGGTTTTTTTTACTTTTATATTGTAGGATTTTAGTGCTGTTGTTGTTGTTTGGATAAGAGCGTCGAACACTGAAGACTGAGCAGGTGGAGGTGTTCGTGTCCGTCAGATCTCCTTCGCTGTTTAAAGAAGAAGAAGAAAAATAAGAGCAACAAAAATCTAAGGTTTTCCACAGAAGTCCACAAAGTCCGCTTGGTTTTTGTATCTTTGATTCCTCAAAAGTCTTTATATTCTCGTCGTGTTTGTATCTATTTCCCCTCCTCCCCCCCCTTCCCCCGGCTCGAGGGGCGGCGGCGGGTCGGTGACGTCATCGTGATGTTGCAGGAGAGCCCGGCTTCAGCGAGAGAGGTGGATTGTGGGAGGAGGGCTTGAAGGTGTTTTGATTTGGGGGGGAGGAGGAGGGGGGAGTCAGAGTCCAGTCCACAGGCCGTCCAGGAGGGGGGAGGAGGGGGGTTTGTGTGGGTGGTGGTGGGGGGGGAGTCGTCGCCTGCTGGAACATCATCTCTCGCTCGCTCACACGTCTCGCTCTCACACATACACTCAGCTCACACTTCATCTCACGTCATCTCACTTCATCTCACTTCTGCTTCGACCGGACGCTCGCGACAAAGACAGAAGAGTTAATTCCAGTGGGGCAGTTTGTCCTCGTTGTTCACTGATGTCCATCTTTCAAATCTCTCTCTCTCTCTCTCTCTCTCTCTCTCTTTTCCCCGACCAGCATGAATCTGAAGAGGAGAAGAAATGGTCAAACAGGAAATGTGTCATCATTCAGACACAACAGTCAGATTTACATCTATTAATTCTGTAAGTGCTGGTCTCAGATGTTGTGGTTAGGTTTTCCATCACACTGTCAGAGTGGTGCATGATTTCTCTTCATAGACCAGCTGTGTAAACGGGCTCAAAACCCCCATAATACTTTATCCAGCAAGCTTAAATGGGGACAATTTATCTTATCTTATATGTCCCCGTAACGCTGTGTGCAGTCAGGTGAAACGTCCCCGTAACACTCTGTGCAGTCAGGTGAACCCGTCCCCGTAACGCTGTGTGCAGTCAGGTGAAACGTCCCCGTAACGCTGTGTGCAGTCAGGTGAAACCGTCCCTGTAACGCTGTGTACAGTCAGGTGAAACCGTCCCCGTAACGCTGAGTGCAGGTTGTGTGTGTTAATGTGTGTGTGTCTGACCAGGCCTGGCTCTTGAGCTTGCGGAGCTCCTTGGTGGCCCAGGTGGCCAGCGTCTTGGTCTTGGCGGTTTTGGAGCGTCTGCCCTCTGTCAGCAGGTCGTTGATAAGCGGACGAACCTCCACCAGCTTCATCACGTCTTTACCAAACGCTGTGCACAGGTCGCTGGATGCACACACACACACACACACACGCACACACACAAGATGTCAACAACAAACAGTGAGGCTTTTATTGTGAAAGAACAGACTGAAGGAAACAGCTTCTTTGTCGTCTTTAAACAGTTTTAGATTTGATGGAAACAAGTTTGATATGAAATTTTAACTGTTTCATCATTTTATGTATTAAAAGTGTGTGTGTGTGTGTGTGTGTGTGTGTTGGTCTCAGATGTTGTGGTTGTGTTTTCCATCACACACTCAGAGTGGTGCATGATTTCTCTTCACTGACCAACACATGTAAACTGGACGCTGCCAACAATGTAAACATCACATACTATTGTCTGTGTGTGTGTGTCTGTGTGTGTGTGTGTGTGTGTGTCTGTGTGTGTGTCTGTTACCCAATGAGTCCAGCAGCGTTGGCCACCACGCCATCAGAGTGATCCTCATCCTCAGCTATGTGATGGATGAAGGAGAGGATGAACTCCACCCGAGGCTGAACCAACATCACATCAGCTACAGCAGGAGGAGGAGGAGGAGGAGGAGGAGGTGGAGGAGGTGGAGGAGGTGGAGAGGGGGAAGGAAGGAAATGATTAAAACAAGCGCTGTGGTTTCAGAGACGGCCATCTTTAAAATCATCACTCTGTTTTATTTTGTCGAGTCCTGCAAAACCAGGAAGCTGTGTGTGTCGGCGGCTGCCTGCAGCTCTCTGGGTGAAAAAGACTCAGTGATCTGTGACGGCGTAAAATCCTCCTGATGGACTGTGGTCAGGAGGAGGAACCGCCGTCACCTGACTCTGTGTGTGAGAGGTCATGTGACGTGTCTTACGGTGTACGTTCTCCTGGTCTCCCTTCAGGCCCTGGATGATCCCGGTGTAGGCCTCCAGACATCCCTCTCTCAGCTCGTTCAGGTAGTCCACCATGTCGTAGTCCGTCTGCGCACACACACACACACACACACACACACACACACACAATGACTCAGACACCTGTGGACGGGGACGTCCCCACTGACTGTCTGTCCCCTCATCAGACTCATGTTACAGCTGCAGTGACGCTCCTCCACTTGAGCGGTTTCTTTTTTACAAAATGTTGATGTAAAGGACTTTCTCTGTGTGTGTGTGTGTGTGTGTGTGTTTACCTTGTCCACCTGAGCCTGAGACGCCTGCTGCAGAGTGTCCAGGACGATGTCCAGGTATTTCTTAAACTCTCCTCCGATGGCCAGAGCAATGTCCCCGAACGCTGACAGGATCTGAGGCTTCACTGACCGATGGACGTTCTCGTTCTGGACACACAGAGACAAACAGCTGGTCATGGGACGACATCACGTTGAGGACAGATCAGCTGGACGCGGTCCAACAGGACGCAGAGAGATGATCTTGTTCAGTGGAGGACAGGAGGGACAGACAGAGACGAGGAGTGACACAGGAACAGTGACACATCTGTGAGGCTGCTACCACTCATCCTGTCACGGGTCACGGGGGGCGGAGCCTATCCCAGCTGACATTAGGTGAAAGGTGGGGTTCAGCCTGGACAGGTCACCAGACTACAAGACAGACAATGAGGGACGGGTCCACTATCAGGACCTGTCCCCAGGTTGATGAGGCTCCACTACAATCTGAGGTTGGCTCTCAACCAAGTTTGTTCCTCCCTACAACCCGCCCCCGCTCGACTTCTGATTGGCTAGTAGCCTAACTTTGGTCCAGTTGGGAGCGAGAGGTCTCCGTTTAAAGCGCTTCTACCAGAGCCCGTCTACGGTCTGCGACACACACATCAATGCCGCATCAACTTTTTTTTGGTCCTCGCCGATCGCCGCAGGTCAGAGTCAGCAAATTAACCTGCATGTCTTTGGACTGTGGGAGGAAGCTGGAGCTGCCTGTGGTTTGAAGTCCACCAGGACGGACGGACGGACGACACAGCAGCTGCACGGCTCCATAAATAATCTGTGTCACACCTCAGGTTCAGAAGCCGTCGGTTCACTCTGCTGTTTTGTGAAGCAGTCTGACGTGAGGATGAAACCTGTCGGTTGAGTTTTGGAGCCAAGATAATCATCACACGAGACACGCTGCAGAGACACGAAACACTCGACTGATCAGCAGCAGCTTCAGTGACAGAGGAATCATTTCACCATCTGATCAGCTCATCAGTTTCAGATCGTCCTGTGTCTCTGAGTCTGAAACTGATCCACAGGATGTTTCAGAGTGAGAGCGTCAACATAACCACAGACACTCACCACAGCTGAACTCTTCCTCACTGCCTGCACACGGCGCAGGAAGTGAGGAAGAGGCCTCGCCGTGCTGCCTGACATCAGACAGAACTGTCAGCTCGTTAAAAACAGACTTCACATTAAAACAGAGCCATCTGTCAGCTGGAACTTAAGTTTCAGTTTCAGTGAAGCCATGACATCATCACAGTGCTGAACAGAGGAAACGAGTCACAGTGACGAGTTGCCAACGAAGGTCTGCTGGTTTTTCCGTGGTTTTATGGGTGGAGCTGAGCACAAATAATCCTCCGCTGCGAGGACAGAGGGATGTCGTATGCTGTAAAGCCCTGTGAGGCAAACTGTGGTTTGTGATATTGGGCTTTATAAATAAAATTGAAATAAAATTGAAATAAACTATGACGTCAGACAGGAAGTCATCATGTGACGGTGACACGCCAGAATTAAAAATAAATCAACAAGAATCTGAGTGATTTATGATCACATGACCTCTGATGACCTGATGAACAATCTTTGGTGATGTGTGGTTCATCTGAATCTCAAGGACTTTAAGCACTGTGCTAAGAAAATGTTTTTCTTCAAGGTTTTCCAGGACTTGATTTTTCCCCTTTTTATCCCCAACATTCCAGCACCTCCAGGACCTGATGTAAAGCCTGCTTAAAGCTCTCAAGCTTGAGGCTTTTTAATGAGCCACAGAAACTGTGCAGGACAGAGAGGATGAGAGGAAGGAGGGACGTGAAGTGGGTGACAGAGTGAAGAGACAGACTGTGAGGGTGAGACAGACTGACACACACACAGACGGACAGACAGACAGACTTCCTCCTCGTCTTCCTCACCCCGAGGTTCTCCAGCAGCAGCTGCATGATCTCGTCACAGTAAGGCAGGATGTTGGACATCAGAGCTCTGCACAGGTCACACACCAGACCCACCGCCGCCAGACACACCTGTAACAACACCATCATCATCATCATGTATCTGAGACAGTATTGTCTTTCCATCTGTGCAGTCTGAGGCTTTCTGCAGGTTCACACTTCACACAATGAGATTTAACAGCTCTCATCGTACGGACGAACTGTGACCAGATTTAATGAATCAGTTTGGGTGTCAATCAGTCCGTTTCCACGGAAACAGTGAAGTGTTTCTACAGTCCCAGCTGGACGAGGACATCTAACTGGCCTACTGTCCTTGTCCCAGTATACAAGCACGGGAGGGGAATCCATTTATTGAGCCAAGTATGTGCGACTCCTCTACGATAGGTGGAGATATGCCCCCTTTCAGCTTGTTAGTATTGGACCTTTTTCCTGTTGACCTATTACGTCACAGACCAAACAATGGACAAACAAGTTAGCTACGGTTAGCTAGC